ATATATATATATATATATATATATATATATATATATATATATATATTTTTTTTAGAGAAAATTAAACCTTTAAAACCTTTAATGTTTATTGCATTGTGGCATTGCTTTCATGACAATTAACAATTTGTATTTATTCTCATTACTGTAATAAGAGTTATTATAGTTAACTGACATGGAAATTAAAATTAAAACCATTAAAAAGTTACTTGAAATAAATAATTCATTCATTCATTTACCATAATACAAATTTGGGGGTGAAATGTTCTTAACTGTCAAAATAATTATGTCACAATGCAAATAATTATAGATAGATAGCTAGATAGATAGATAATATATAATAATATATATAACTTCTTGTTTATTTTCCTTTGGGATGAATTATGAGTTTTCTAATGCCTGTGCAAAGCTGACCTCTTTCCTCTCTACTTCTGTTTGTCATCATCTTAAACAAACTGTCACACACAGCCTCTGTCTTCACATATAAACACACTAATGTGTTCTCAACAGGCAGCTGACTTCTGCTGTCAGCCGCGGATGCTGTTAACAGCACTAGTTCACACACATAGTGTGTGAAGCTGCTGGTATCACGCAGAGGGCATTAGGCCATAAACATACATCCTGCCAGCTGTGTCACATGCTTCCTGTTTGTCTCTCTCAGTAGATGAGGAGCCTCCTGTGAGCGACTGTCATCTGTGCAGACATCTAACTAAATTAAATCCCTTATTATCATTATGACCAAAAAAATGCTAAATTAAAAAAATTTAAATATGTAATAAAATATTCATTTAAATTAATATATACAGGTGCATCTCAATAAATTAGAATGTCGTGGAAAAGTTCATTTATTTCAGTAATTCAACTCAAATTGTGAAACTCGTGTATTAAATAAATTCAATACACACAGACTGAAGTAGTTTAAGTCTTTGGTTCTTTTAATTGTGATGATTTTGGTTCACATTTAACAAAAACCCACCAATTCACTATTGTCTGTTTTGTCAAGAGGAAAATGAGAAACAAGAGACCAAAAAATGCAGATGAGCTGAAGGCCACTGTCAAAGAAACCTGGGCTTCCATATCACCTCAGCAGTGCCACAAACTGATCACCTCCATGCCACGCCGAATTGAGGCAATAATTAAAGCAAAAGGAGCCCCTACCAAGTATTGAGTACATGTACAGTAAATGAACATACTTTCCAGAAGGCCAACAATTCACTAAAAATGTTTTTTATTGGTCTTATGAAGTATTCTAATTTGTTGAGATAGTGAATTGGTGGGTTTTTGTTAAATGTGAGCCAAAATCATCACAATTAAAAGAACCAAAGACTTAAACTAATTCAGTCTGTGTGCATTGAATTTTTTCCATGACATTCTAATTTATTGAGATGCACCTGTGTGTATATATATATGTATATGTGTGTGTGAACGGGACTAATAGATCGGTAGGGGTGTTGATGCTAATCCACCACGGGACTCGGGTAAGAAGTGCGACAGGAGACAGGGCACTGTTCAACTCT